TCGATTTGCACCCCCCTCAAGTTTTTCTCTATATATTTTGCTATTTTTTGCCTTGGTGTCACCCCCCGCCCCCCCCCCCCTCGCTACGCCCCTGCATATGGATATTATAAAATTGAGCTACATACTACATACAGATTTGTAAACATATGTTCAGCATATAGTAAATTCACACACATATTTGAAACGAGTATTAACAGTGTGTATTTGATCCACATAGAGATTTGTAAACACACATATGATCAGTGTATAGCTGATTCATACAAATTTGTTAAGGACCATATGGTTTAAATCACACACGTAACTTGTAAAAACATGAATATGATTACACCCAGGCAGGGGCGGAACTACAGTGCCGCCAGACCCCGCAATGCGGGGGGGCCCACGCCATTTAGGGGCCCACAGCCGACCATAATACATTTTTTATAGGTTAAAAAAAATCTAATTTTCTTGCATTTTTGACTTGATGGTTGTTTTGTAAAACGATTACCGTAGCTGCGGTTGGATCATCTTTATTCTATTAACACCAATCCAAGCTCTAGTATATTCTTTTTCCCTTTGTTTTTGAACCATTGTGAAAGCCGAGTCCTCACTCTCCTACAATTAAACTTAACAAAGATAAGCAAACGTTCAAACCACTTCCATGACTTATTTCCCTTTTTTAAATAGTCAAATAGAGGTGCTCATAAGCTGCTTTTAATAGATTTGTACTAAACGAATTAAAAAGCAATTACTTCTCTTACTTATTTTTTTATAAAGTATTTACTAAAGAATGACATTGTATAAAAAGGAAATGTATTTAAAATTAATAATATAAATAAAAAAAAAACCCATAAAATAATCATAACACGAGACACCATTATTTCTACAATGCTTTCATGTTTTATATTCTTTTGGCCGACTGAAAGTTAAGAGGACCTATAGCGCAGATGCAAAAATATGGTTTTCTCAAAACACACTAATGCACTTACTCACTTGGCATGATGTAGATCTAGATCTAGTAATTTGTTTTAACTTTAAAAAAAAACCATTGTTATTTGAAAACCCGAACAGGCCAGTAATGAGTATCCTATTCCTATGTTCGTATTTTGTGCTTGTATATATATATATATATATATATATATATATATATATATATATATATATATATATATATATATATATATATATATATATATATATATGGGGGGGCCTAAAAAATTTTTTTGCGGGGTGGCCCTTTTTTTCTAGTTCCGCCACTGCACCCAGGTATAATTCGTTCCCTCATTACATCTAGTGCTCTAATCAATTAAAATCGTGCTTTTAATCAACATCTGGCTATCAAATCACGCCTTACTGGTAATTAATTAATTAATTAAACACTATCATAGGCTTGCTTGTAATCACCCATAGTGCACGATAACGCTGAATTTAATTATCGCTTTAATGCATCATAAAGCATGTCATACACAGTGTGACATTTCATCTAGATGTCAGTGTCATCAATGTAATAGAACCATGTCATGTGGAAACATTAGGAGTCTTACAGTAGTCATGTAAATAACTTGTGGTCATTCTGTGGTACAAGTCACAGGTCAGGCTGGTCATTCAATCACACTAGCAGTGGTCAAATCTAGACCTAGCTTTAACTAGATCAACTCTGGAGACTGACTCTAAAACTTGACAACTTTAGACACATTTAGTGCTGACAACGTTTGTCTTGATGTGACCTTGGCATGCTCTGATGGTCAGAGTTCATCAAAGGTCACTGCCACTTATCTGGGTAGGTGCACTGGTCTTTCAACTATCAGTGATTTAAGTCAACACTGTATGCTAAACCTGGGGTCATCTGGTCAGTGGTCAAGAAGACTGGAATCTGAACTTAAGAATTAGGTCAAAACTATAGGCTAAACTAGGGGTCATCTGGTCAAGAGGACTGAAGTCTCAACTAGAAAATTAATTAAGTCAAACAGCAGGTTAAGCCTGATATGAATATCCTGCGGTGTCCACATTAAAAGTGTTTGCAGTGAAAAAAAACTGATCTTGTAATATTTGCTTAAACTCTCTACAGCATAACATATTCAAACTAAAACATAACATTTGCTATTGATCCCCATGTATGCTAGAAATAATTCATTAATTGGCTCATTTTCCCACAAAGGTTGTTGACCTATTCAGATATCAAATGCTAAGAAAGACAGGTAACAATAGCCTGGGACTTAATGTTAAAATGTCACTTGTCAATTTTTTACCGGCATATGGCTTGTAGAAATCAAACATTGATATGTTGAAAATTACCAAAAATAAGTGGTTTACATAATCAAAATGGTTACAATGGTTAAACTGATTCTCGAGTTTAAACCCTCTGGCAGATAAGGCTCGATCCCTTCCAACACTAAAAATTAAGAACCAAGAAGAAGGTTAAATTGATTACTTTTTATATCAATGTATTATCTTTCTATAGTCTGGGTGGGGTGACTGTGCTTGACAAAATGCTATTCTTTGATAAAAACAATTCTCTTTAACCATTGGGGGGAGAGGGGGGGAGAGAGATTATGTGCTTAACAAACTACAATTCTTTAACAACAACAAATCTCTTAAACCCTCACACTTTAACAACAACAAATCTCTTAAACCCTCACACTTTAACAACAACAAATCTCTTAAACCTTCACACTTTAACAACAACAAATCTCTTAAACCTTCACACTTTAACAACAACAAATCTCTTAAACCCTCACACTTTAACAACAACAAATCTCTTAAACCCTCACACTTTAACAACAACAAATCTCTTAAACCCTCACACTTTAACAACAACAAATCTCTTAAACCCTCACACTTTAACAACAACAAATCTCTTAAACCCTCACACTTTAACAACAACAAATCTCTTAAACCCTCACACTTTAACAACAACAAATCTCTTAAACCCTCACACTTTAACAACAACAAATCTCTTAAACCTTCACACTTTAACAACAACAAATCTCTTAAACCTTCACACTTTAACAACAACAAATCTCTTAAACCTTCACACTTTAACAACAACAAATCTCTTAAACCCTCACACTTTAACAACAACAAATCTCTTAAACCTTCACACTTTAACAACAACAAATCTCTTAAACCCTCACACTTTAACAACAACAAATCTCTTAAACCCTCACACTTTAACAACAACAAATCTCTTAAACCTTCACACTTTAACAACAACAAATCTCTTAAACCCTCACACTTTAACAACAACAGAACACTACCTCATTCCTTAGGGTAAGATTTGGGGTTAGAGTATCCATATTGTCAATACTTGCTATAGGCCTACTAGTAGTACATAGTAGCTAAACTAGTACCAAGAAGAGTAAAAGAAATACTGAAATTTAAAACTTCAAAAAGACTAGTACTGATTGTAGACTTCATTTATTTAATTGTGTCATTAAATATGAGAAACATACTTGATTAAATTCAGTTGTACTTCATATTTTATATTTACGAAACAAACCTAATTGTAATTTAAATGTTTAGATTCTGAAGTTTTAATTTCTGATTAGTTGTTTATGTAAAGTCAACCATGTATATTGTATAAATCTATTGTTATTATGTAAAGTCAACCATGTATATTGTATAAATCTATTGTTATATATCTTGATCCCCCTCCAAAAATATCACATTACCATTTTTGTATATAAAGCGAGACCCAACTGTGTGGTGGGTATCGTAGTGGTAGGTCTACAATGTATGAATATCCGACCTGGGACAGGGAACAATGATAGGTAATGTCATGCATATTAATTATAATTTATAATAATATCATGAAGGTGCCGAGGCGCATGCAGGATTTTAAGCTCCTAACTTAATTATGAATTTAAAATTATGGTCTAATGACATTCAAAATTTTGAACTGTGGGAAATAGGTGTAACTAGTGTTGAGGTGAGACAACTAGACTACTAGACTATATTTGGGGTACCCAACACCCCTCCCCCCCTCCACACTTAAAATCATACACTGACTGAACAAAATGAAGACAAGCCTTAGATTCTGGATCTAGATTACTTTTAACTAATGAAAGTTTAAACATGCTTGAAGAAGACCTGCTTGGACTAGAATCTAGATATTTTTATTTAAAATTAACATGCATTATGGCATTATGCAAGCTTTATGAACACTTTATTTGTTGTCAATATGTGTTTTTTAATTATATTACTTCATTAGGCCTATTATTCTTTATTTGAATATGCCCCTATGTGTTCATATAAAAACTATGTGCTAGATTGCTTTCATGCATGGGCTCTACTACCAAGCCTATTACTATTATTTAGGCCTATAAACTTTATAGTATAAAGTCTATAGGCCTAAATAGAATACTAACTAAATACTAAATGTCTATCATTTAGTAAATGATAGATCATAGGCCCTAATTAATATTTTACTATTGAGTTATATAATTGAGGCTCAGATCTAGAAATAAGACTATTTTTTTATTTAAAATCAGAATAATCAGTTTACAGTTTACATTTCACTGTGATATGATCAAAGCCTAATGTTAGATCTAGTATCTAGGTCTAGTAATATTAATAAAACCCGAGCTTATGGTCGAGGGTGGAAAAGAAAATTGAAAATAAAATCTGAGTCATGGGTGACTAACCAAACTAAATCTTTGGGCAAAATATTAATTTAAAAAATAGGCCCCTATGCTATTTTTTTTTAAATAAATAATTAGGGCCTACATCTAGATTAGTAGATATAGACAAGAGACTAAGTTCGATTTAGTAAATCAATAAAATTGGTGTGAGTACTTTAGTTAGGCTACTTCGTACAAATAATGAACTAGATCTAGGCTATTTCAATTTCTTAATATTTAGGCCCTAATATTTAAATTTGATATTAAAATCACAAAATAAATGAAATATCACACTGGAATGTTTGGAATCTGTAGGCCCTATTTTAAAAAATATTTTGTGCGCAAATAATCAAATCAGTTTCAGTGAGTTTCACTCACATAAAGAGTAAAATTAATACTCACGTTCCAAGTGTGTCTTTAAATTCATACTTCCGCCGAATATCATTTTCTTTTAATTTCTTTTCCGCATCGTTGTTTTTCTTGCCGAATAGCGGCATGATTTAGGCAAAGGCAACTTTTTATCCACGTAACACGTAACCATGGGCTATAGAGAAAATATAATATCCGGTGTCAAACTGTATGTAAAGTGAGAGGTGACACCCACGGCGACTTACGTGCTCGACTCGTGTCGTACACTCTCACACACCAATAACACGGTGCCTCTGAAAGCGATGTTGTTCAGCCATAACATTCGAGTCACGTGACAAAGAGGGCGCTACCGTATTTGCATATGTAATCATAACATTTTTGTCGCTTATTCGCGAAACCATGACAACAGGTTGCAGAACCGTGGCTGAAAACAATCGCTTTGATTTACAATTCTAGTCTGAGGTGTAACTAAACAGCTTAATGATCATTTTAAAACATTTATTCTTTTGAAAAGCTAAATTTAAATCAATTTATTTGTTAGTTTATTCGTTGTTTTGGTTTTTTTTTTTTTAAAGTAGATCTACTAAACTTTAGAGGCGTAGGGCTACATAATTATTGATTAATTCGACTCAATAGACGGGATATTAATTTAGTAGATTAAATTAAAATATTTTATTACTTCTTATTATTTAAACTGATTTATTATGTATACTTACTTTAATCTAATTGTTTGCCTTTTGTTTTTCAATAATATAACACAGTCTTAGCTACCGCTGACATATATTTTGCAGGGAAATACGGTTTTTAATTACTTGGCAAATTAAATTGTTTGTTGAAAACACGTTTATTTAGGCCTAATAATCAAGTTTATTCATTTTAAAGATTACTTTCTTAACAAATCTTAAACCAAGCAAAATAAACAATTAAGCTTGGATTTCTTAAATTAAAAAATGATAATAAAATATTCTAAGTAGGCTATGCCTACAACATGTCATAAAAATGTCTTTAATTCGGGGTTAGTCAATAACTGTGTTTGTTTTTGTCAATTTAACAAGGGTTTCATTTACAAAATGTGCTCCGGGGATGGGAGGGGACAGACAATGGTTAAACGTATTTTTTTCCCTATTTTTTTTCTTCTCTATTTTGTGCTTGTGTTTGGAGGGGGGGGGGGGGGGGTTGAACCAGGGATAGGACAATGCCCCTTGAAGGATACCTAAAACACTAAAAGAAACTGCATTTAATCCCTTCCTTCCCTCACCCCCCCCCCCCTCACCAATAGTGGGACATATTGATGACTCTTTTATATAGGGCCTATATTTAAAAAATCAATTAGGCCTTTTAATTTATTATTGTAAAACTATCGATGCAGCAAGTTATTATCGCTTTATTATTAAAATGTTTTTATTAAACTATTAAAGTATAATCCACATTATTATTATGGTACTCAGTATTTTTGCATCTTTTAAAAGTAACCTTAGGCCTTATAAGCAAAAATTTCTAATTTTAGACATGATTTTTATAGTTCAAAGTCTGTATGTTAACTTAAAAGGATCGCAGTACAATATATAACTTAACAAAGGCATAGTTTACCTCACTTTTTTTACCCGTTACAACTTACACACACACACACGCACGCACGCACACACACACACACACGCGCACGCACACACACACACACACTTGTAACTCCAGTAGAATAACTGGGGAGCGGGTGGCGGCTGCGGGCTACGACCACTGGGACACACTCAAAAAAGCAAATGCCTGCATCCATATTACTTTCCTAAAACATCTTTCCAGAAATTAATAATTAGATACAAGCAGAGGCGTAGCGAGGGCGGCGGGGGGGGGGGGGGGGGGGGGGGGGGGGCGCCAAAATGGGTTTGAAAAACAAATTGAAAGTTTGAGGGGAGTGTGCAAATCAAAAGTTTGTCCCCGGGCGCCGGGAAGAGTCGCTACGCCTCTGGATACAAGTACGGTTTAAGGAAGTATTTATTTTAAAAAAAAAAACAGTATCTAACTAAAGATTTATCAAATTTTATTTCAATAATGAAGAATTAATTTTAATTAAGTTTTGCAATTTGAGACAAAGCTAGAAAAAAATATCCTACATACTTATTAATTGTAAAACTAGCGGTCGCCGTCGCTGCGAATAGCGTGACAAATTACTGACTCACGTCATGATAACATTCAATTTACATTGTGCACTTTTTAATTGAGTTGTTTTATTCATTTGAATAAGAAAAAATTTCAAAGTGTTGTTTTGATTATGTTTATTAATTCGAGTTCTTGTGTACCCGACCATATACAATTGTCAACGCGAGAAACACAGACTCTCTAACTCTAGTCTAGTCCTACACGCCAACCTGCGGCAACTTTCTTCAAAATGTGGACAGCGCTTCATAAAGGTCTGAGTTCAGGCGGTGGTTTTTGTCGGAATGAAATTAGATTAGTTTATCTAGATTGTATGTCTTTTCCCTGAAATCATCTCTAATGTAGTGGCGTCACAATGTGGGTGAAGGGGGGTGCGTCCGCGCCGGGTGACACCATTTAGAGGGTGAGACCACGACCACATAAAAAGTAAAATTTACTGCCGAAACAATGTTTTATCCAGTAAAGGTAATAAAGTAGTGGAGAAGGGTGATAAAAACCTAAAAATAGAAAACTGTTGAAAGGAGTGGGGTGACACCCTCAATTATCGCGCCTAGTGACACCGCTAGTCACAGGTACTCAAACGTCTGCTGGTCCTGTGGTAGGAGGCTGTACCTGGTGTTAGCTGTGGCATGCTTGTGTCATTCGT